ATAGGGACCCCTAATGTAATTTTTTGAGGACGGATTATAAAGGTACAGTATGTGCTGTTGTCTACTTCTGTTAACTCCAACACCCACTTTGTCAGTCTGTGTGAGCATCCTGAATCCGCTGACAGCTTGGAAAGTGAGAGGGACAATCTAATAGTTGGAGCCATGACTGCTGATAGCATTGATAAACATTGTTAGAAAGGAAATGAGGACCAAGACACAATGGTGTGTGTACTGCCTGGTTAACCTTTCCGGTGCAAGCAGTTTGAAAAGTAAATATCAATGTCAGTTTCTTATAGTAGGCCTCTGTTAATGTTTAGCCAGGATTTGGGTTGTATGAACCAATGTTTATATAACCTCTTATAGGGCACCAGGGTCGGCTCTAGAACAAATCGAATGGGGGGGCAATCATTTACCACGGGGGGGGGCACACACTGCCATCAACAACCAACACACAAACACCAACGCAACTTCAATTTAAAAAAACATGCTGTAAAGTCTATTGTCTTTCACACACATTGCAGGGGTGTAGTGCTATTTTATAGCGCACCTATGACTTCTGCATACATGCACGGTTGTGGCACGACCATCAAAACAGAAATATATGGACATAGGCCACCATATAAAAAGTGTGCAAATGTATTTAGTATCCTATCCATGTGAACATGTTTTAGGTGGGGCATGCTTATTTTTTTAAATATTGAATCAATCAATCAATCAATCATCAATCTGGTGCACTTTGAGAGCAAAATGAAGAGATCTATAGCCTATCTCTCAGCATCCATATGAAACATAACTGTACACAGATTTACTTTTTCTTTATGGATATTTTACTAATCACTCCCCTTTTAAACTGTATTCTTGTGTTACTGTCCTATAGTATTTCATACCCGTTTTTCATGTATTCTCTTATTCTTTAATAACTATAATGATCATAAAGGTGTTCCTCGCAAATACTTGTTTACATAAATGGTGACCAAACCGTTTGAGACCCACTGAGATAACTTACACTAAAGTTAACTATCTAAACACTGACAGAGTCCTTACCTCACTGAGCTGACGTTATAAGATCCTCTCAGTCTGACAGGAGAGGACTCTCCTCCACCTTGGTGTAGAAACAGCTCTTTATATCCGTTAGCATAGCTAGCTAATCAGATGCTAACAACAACATTCCGCGTTACCACTCGCACACTCACAAAATGCGCTCGTGCCACACACACACAGAGCCGAGCTTGAATGAAACACAGAGACCCAGAAGTAGGCTACTTGTACTGTACTGTATATCAGTGGTTCTCAACTGGTCAGGCCTCGGGACCCACTTTTTACTTGGTCAATACATCGCGACCCAACATTTTGAAGCACTCAAATCTATTCAACAAAAAATCGTGCTGTAATATATACGCTTTTCAGCATACAATATTGATAAAAGTGAAGTACAGTGCATATATCCCTTATATCCCTTCACAGAACTAAAGTATGCTTTTAAAAAAGGTTTAATGAGATGATGGAATCAAAGCTGAACTGTATAACATAAAAAGGCCCACATGCTGAAAACCCAACCCCAGCAGGGGGGTCTGGGGGGCACAGTGACTCATTTGGGGGGGCATGGCCCGCGAATGACCCCGACCCTGTAGGGAACTAATAATAATAATAATTCCTTACATTTATTATAGCGCTTTTTCAATGACTCAAAGCGCTTTTACATATACACACATTACACATATACAGTGGCGACTGGTCATTAGGGGCAGGTGGGGCACAGCCCCACCTAGTGTCAGCAGAAAGTATTAAAAGTAATGATTACAAAAAAATGCAAAAAATAAATTAAAAAATATATAAAATATATTTTAAGATCATGTTTAATCATCTGATTCGTCTGTACATTGCTGTTTTAGTCTGTGTTATTCTAATTAGTGTCTAGAGTGTGTGCCTATTGAGCTGTTTTGAGCCATGTGGGACAAAACCCGATCCTGCCCCTCCCTCTCCCTGTTTAAGTCAATGGTGACTGTAAAAACTACACTGCGCATGCTCAGAGTATTGTCCTATTTAATGTGTGTGGCAAAAAAATAATGACCATAGGGGCATAGAGCTGCCATCCCCACCATACGTCATCTCACATAATTCAGAGTGGCTGTAAGTACGTGTGCCGCGAAAAGTGTGGTGTGTGAAGAGGAGGAGAGAGCTGCAGTGACGCGTCCTAAAACCCGGAAATAAACTGCGCATGGCTTCCCTCCACAAAAAAGCAATGATATTTCTCCATAGAATTTTAGAAAATAGCTCCAAATAAGATCTGTGGGAAACAAACCTGTTAGATAAATGCACGTTTTGTTCAGCCGGATAATATCCACATGTCTACCCTACTTTTATAATTTTCGAATCATAAATCTATTGATTAGATCAGATTTATGATAGACTTTGGAAACTACAAGAACATAAGGAGGACTTTTACAAAAAAGTAATAGAGATGTTTGTCCAGAAGGATAGGCAAATGGACTTCATCTTCATGTCAAGGTAAGACTGCAATTTGATTGAAAATGGGATCTTACTAAGAGAGAACAATTCAATATTTAAATGATACAATTACATTTTTTGGGTATCCTTTTGTTGAACTGTCTGTTTAAAATTAATTGAAGCATCAGACAAAAAAAGCTTTTGAAAATAATATGATATTTTGATTTAGGTCAAAATATAATATTTGTAAACCTGAAGAGTCAGAGCCTCACCAGCCATGAACCTCAAGCTTATATATAGACATCTAAGTTTTTTGTGCCCCACCCAGGGTCGGCTTCATGGGGGGTCATTCGCGGGCCATGCCCCCCCAAATGAGTCACTGTGCCCCCCCAACGCAGGGTTGGCAAGCTTTGCCACTTTGCCGTTTTTTTCGTTTTTTAATCATATAAGTGAAAACGTTTCTGCTAAAGGTTTTTTGTGTGAAATACATCAGAAATAAAGAATACAAATATAAAACACAGCCTGAGGTGTGCTCACTGCTGCTCTCTGATTGGTGTGTTGCTTGACCAATGACCCCCGACCTTTGTTTTGTTATCATTACGTGGCTGTGTGTTTAGATGAAAGCCGGTGGCGATCTGTTCATCTGTTACACTGATTATACAGTAAAGCCATCGAAAATAATATGATATACAGTAGCCTACAGTACAAGTACATGGGTCTCTGTGTTTCATTCAAGCTCGGCTCTGTGTGGCACGAGCACATTTTGTCTGTGCGCGAGTGGTAACGTGGAATGTTGTTAGCATCTGGTTAGCTAGCTATGCTAACGGATATAAAGGGCTGTTTCTACACCAAGGTGGAGGAGAGTCCTCTCCTGTCAGACTGAGAGGATCTTATAACGTCAGCTCAGTGAGGTAAGGACTCTTTCAGTGTTTAGATAGTTCACTTTAGTGTAGGTTAACTTATCTCAGTGGGTCTCAAACGATTTGGTCACCATTTATGTAAGTATTTTCGAGGAATACCTTTATATGATCATTATAGTTGTTAAAGAGAATAAATGAAAAACGGGTATGAAATACTATAGGACAGTAACACAAGAATACAGTTTAAAAGGGGAGTGATTAGTAAAATATCCATAAAGAAAAAGTAAATCTGTGTACAGTTCTGTTTCATATGGATGCTGAGAGATGTCGGCTATCCATAGATCTCTTCATTTTGCTCTCAAAGTGCACCAGATTGATGCATTTAACTTCAATATTTTAAAAATAATCTTCCCGGGGGAGCATCCCCCCAGACCCTCCTAGAGGAGGTTAGGTCCACCCCCACCTAAAACATGTTCACATGGATAGGATACTAAATACATTTGCACACTTTTATATGGTGGCCTATGTCCATATCAAATCAAGTTTTATTTATATAGCAAATTTGTCAACGATTTTTGGTCGAGCTAAAGTGCTGTACATATAATAAAAAATAACCTACAGTAAAGACACTTTACAACAAATACAACAGCACAGTTTGTGCAGAATATCAGTATGAGAAAACGACACCCTCTGTCCTTATATGTTTCTGTTTTGGTGGTCGTTCCACAACCGTGCATGTCTGCACAAGTCATAGGTGCACTATACAATAGCACTACACCCTGCAATGTGTGTGAAAGACAATAGACTTTACAGCATGTTTTTTTAAATTGAAGTTGCGTTGGTGTTTGTGTGTTGGTTGTTGACGGCAGTGTGTGCCTCCCCTTGGTAAATGATTTCCCCCCCATTCGATTTGTTCTAGAGCCGACCCTGGCCCCACCACTTTTGTACATATAAAAACGCCACTGCACATATATCATACATGCAATGGTCAGATACTGTGGACAATACCCACAGGAGCCAGTTCAGGTGAAGTGTCTTGCCCAAGGGCTTTACAGACGCAGCAGCGGCGGGTTTCACCCCTTGATCTGATGATCATTGCACAGCGCACTGCGCCACACCGTCCATCTTCACGCCTCGAGGTCATCGAGGCGTTTTTACAAGTACACATTGGTATTATACATGTACTGTGGACAATACCCACAGGAGCAAATCCGGGTGAAGTGTCTTGCCCAAGGACACAACGGCCTGACGCATGGATTGGCGGCAGGAACTGGAGTTCCCCAGCACTCCCCCTTGATCTGATGATCGGATGCACAGACCACTGCGCCACCCGTCCCGTCACTAGGCTAAGTTTGCTTTTGTGTGGCTAGAATGAATCAGTATACGAACTCTAGGTCCTATCATATAATAAAATACTTTTGCTTATAAGACAAGCACTGCTAGATCGGAAATATTTTTCAGGCCTGATTTGGTTTCAAGCTTCAGTGAAATAATGTATAAAAACATTTGACCCCGGTTCTACATGGAAATACATTTTAGTGGATCCTTATCATCTATGGAACAACAGGAAGCCAGGGCTAAATCTTTTCTCAGACTAAACTGCTGATTCTTAGGTTTTATTAAATGCAGCTAACTTTACACTCACACAGATTTAAAAAAGGAATTTGCAGAATATAAAAAAACAGGTCTTCATTCTGTTGTCCATGTTTTTATTTTAGGAGTAGAAGAAAACATTCAAAAGATACAAGATTGTGCATTGTACTTTTCGCTTAAATGGCTAATGATTGAAAAAGAAAGAACAAAATTACCAAGCAATATTGTAAAGATTAAGGGAACTTCTTTTAGTGCCATTTGTTTCATAGATGGAATTTAGAAAAAACATGACATTTGAAGGTCTTTTTGACAAACAAAGGTTTAAAAAAACTGAATATCTCTCTTTCAAGGCGTTGTAATCATGGTTGAATCAAAAAACATGTAGGCCTATGGGGAGAGGAGAGAAGAGAATGGGTGACTAACGCTCACAAACCCATGCAAATTCTGTATTACAAGGGGCGTCATTAAATTTTTTCTCTGAATGCTCAACACAATCCTCATTTCCACCATGATTATTGGGCTCCCCCTTTTTCCAGAATCCGACACCTACCAGATCAGTCCCATCCACCCACTTCCACTTGCCCTCTTGCACCATGTCAGACAGACCGATCCAGGATATGGCTGTAGTTCTGCTGAGGAAATCCAGCTCTTCTTGGGTGGTTATAATAGCCAGGTCAGCTCCTCTCGCTTGACAGTCTTGTCTGCTGCCTTGCCAGGTTTTAGACGCGCTACTAGCAGAGAAGAAGTAGCACTTGTCTTGGAATCTTTTCCATCCTTGGAGGCAAGGGACACCTATTTGACAAGTATATTTTGGTTATTGTGATCTTGAAACCCTTACGTTTTAAGAAAATGTTTGGAGACCAGCAGGAAACAAATTGTTGAAGCTTACAGTATGTCCAGATTTATTTATACACATTGAAGATAGTTAAGATGTCTAGTTTTATTATTCTGGCTTTAAGTATACTAGCATGCATTTTATTATCCACCCACTTCTCTTGGTGTTTGCTAATGTTCCTTTATTTTCTGCATATGCTCATATTTCCTTTCTACTGCAGTGCATCCAAATAAAAGAAGATCCCATTCAAGTCTACATGTGTTGCTTTAGTCGTTACTTACGTTTCCTTAACCCTTTAAACTCCTCTTGTAGTTTATCTTGACTTGCAGCCACAGCGTTGTATTTGCTCTGCAGAACCTCCAGCTCTTCTGTCAGGTTGCTGGAATGCATCTTCATTTGTTCTAGCTCCTCCCTCATGTTTCTGTCCATATTCAGGTTAGAGATCAGCTGTTCAAACTTCGAGTCCATGTGATTGAGAACGATAGAATCTACAAAAATATAATTTACAATCAACGAATAACCATTACAATTATCAAGTGACCACTGTTAAAGAAACAAATACTAATACATTTGTAGGTGTTTTGTGGTGTGTACTCAAGCCCATTAACTTGAGTCAGTACTTACTGCGAACCTCCATCTCTTTTGTCAGGTTGCCGGAATTAATCTTTCTTTGTTCTAGCTCATCCCTCTCAGTGTTTCTGTCCATAGTCAGGCTAGAGATCAGCTGTTCCCACTTCGAGTCATTGTGATTGAGAACACTGGAATCTACAAAAATATCATTTACAATCAACGAATAACCATTCAAATGATCAAGTGACCACTGTTAAAGCAAAACATACTAATACATTTTCAGGTTTCTTTTGGTGTGTGTACTCAAGCTCATTGCTGAGTTAGTACTTACTGTGGGCCACTATGCATAGGATTATAAACAGTGTCCCCAGACACACTGTAGCAGCTCCAACCCACCGCACTGAAACACAAATCACCTCAACAAAAACGCAATGAATATCCACAAAACAATCAAAGCAAATGTGTAATTTAACTAAATGTTTAAAGCTTTGTCCCTGTTTCCTCAAGCACATCTTAGGTTTTTTGTATAAATGCTACAGCTACAAGTCATATTATACATGTTGTACTGTATAGGCAACGTGGTCGAATGTGTGTTCTTACCGGATGTTTGAGTTCTAAATCCATCATTTGACATGTTGTCAGGGGCCATCAAATCACACTATCGTCCTGAATCGTATTCTCCCTTGATGTGATGTTCAGTGCTTCTGTAAAATGTGTGCTCAGTTTCTGTGTTCTTATTAAGGTCCAATAATTTGATGATACTGCAAATAAACGCATGGGAGTAGGACATGTTCGGTTTAAGAAAGACAACCCATGGGCGGGAGTCTTTTCCAAAAGCAGAACTCTCAGATACGTTTTTTACATTGTGGTGAGTTGTTGTGGAGTATGGTATTATAATCTGTGATTTCCTATCTTTCATTTGCATCAGGATTGTGGACTCAGCACACTTAAAGGACAGTCAGCGAAACCCTTCTGTTAATTTCCTGTTTAAAATAACAGGATGTAAGCCTGTGTTTGTGTGCTTGTGTTGGATAGTGCTGCTGTAAGAAATTGATGTTTCGTTTACCAAGAATTGAAACCAATCTGTTCATGCCTAACCATGTAACCATGCAGGTTATAATGGGACACAAAGAAGGCAAACGCAACTTGAAATGTGTGCACTGCTTATATGGAAAGTCACTATAAGGACAGCACAGGTGTTGTTCACACAAAGCCACCTATTTATGTTCAACGGCATTACAAAAATAGTTTGATCACACAAAGTTAAAATATAGACATGAGTGTTTTCACCAAATAAAAAACAGGAAACAGCAAAAAACATAAACCAAGTTCTTGACTGTATTAAATAATGTAACAAACAATGACAATTCGTAGATGTGTTAGTAATGTATGAACATGACACTGTTGTTCAGTCAACTGAGGTTTTATAAAAAATAGAATATGAATGTCTCAACAACCCTTAAAACGACACATTTGAATATATATCTCAGAATTAATACAAATCTGGCAGCAGAGGAAAAGGGATCACCAAGGTAAATTGGACTGGTCCACAGGGGACAATATTTCTGTACAAACTTCAAAACAATCCATTGAGATAGATCCATAAGCCAATGGTGCTGTTTTGGCTCTATGGCCATGGTTTCAAACACAGACATTTGTTCGATTGTTGTGCTTGAAATTTTATCTCCTGTTCATCCGGACAATCAAGCACTTAAATGTAATTGCACTGAAGTTTCCAAAACCTTACCCAGATCACTGCAGACTTCCCTAAACCTCGGCCTGTGTTTTTTAAGTGGAGCTTCACCTCAGGCCGAACCTGTGAAAGAATCAGCCAGACAGTAATGCAGCTTTCCCCCCAATGTTTCTTGTCAGTAGCGCCTCTTTACTGCTGGGCTTTGAATGAAAGCAAATGTTAAATAATACAATTAAAAAAACTAATTGAGATACTATGTGGTTATTGCCAATTTACAATAAAAAGCTAAGAACATTATCAATTGCAAGCATCATCATTGTATTACAGTGAACCTATGGGTTTTCAAATACCCCCAATATACGTTTATGCTACAGCAAGCTAACAGACACACAGTCTCACGTATTAAGGATTTATAAAGTTAGCTAACATGCTGGCTAACTTTCAAACTCCCAGCAGCCAAGGCACAACATTAACATGTATAGTTGTTTAATTGGCCTTTTGACCTATAGAATATTTATTTTTAAAGGCCAAAGCAGGGAAACACTATGTTAATGTACCTGCCCGGATCCGGAGACAATCAGAATTATGATGTGTTCATATGCAGCATACATATTTAACATTCTCCCAAACATGTATGACCCGTCTGTCTGTGATCATCTGAGCAAATGATTTATTTTACAATTTTCAGTTATATTTTATTACATGCATATACTAATTCTAGACAACAAAGGATATATGTATACCTATTTCTCTTTTGCATGCAAGTTTAAATGTCTCATTGACTCAGGATGGTACTAGGGCAGGTGTCCCTCTTCCTCTTCCTCCTCCTCCTCCTGCTCCTCTTCTCCTGCTCTTTGGGAACTCACAGATGAAAAACATGGCGGCTTCACACTCCACATGACTCCATGTTCCAGATCTGAGCAGCTCCACACAGCTTGAGTTTTTGTGGGGAGATACTGGGGAATTTAGCTCCTCCTCTTGGCTCCAAGCTGTGAAACCCTGCAGAGGGCTGGAGTCTGCAAACACATGACCGCTTGTTCCATCCTGATGACAAAACAGAACAAAATCATTAGAAAGTTATTCACAGCAAAGAACACTTAAAACGTTTCTAATTATTAAACCAGGTTTCAGGAGAATTATGGCACAGATACTCCTCCTATTTTATAAAGCACAAGAGAACAAAAGGCCAGAGAAACTCCACATGCTGCAGTGTGTGTGTGTGTGTGTGTGTGTGTGTGTGTGTGTTTGTGTGTGTGTGTGTGTGTGTGTGGTGTGTGTGTGTGTGTGTGTGTGTGTGTGTGTGTGTGTGTGTGTGTGTGTGTGTGTGTGTGTGTGTGTGTGTGTGTGTGTGCACATATTATGAGTCTGTGATGGGGACTACTTGCTGTGTCATTGCTTTGAGCCTGCACTCCTATATAAACTCTCATCAGTCCAGTCTGACTGACGTATTCTGCCATGAGCTGGTTGGTCTCGCTGGTTTTTGGCATGGCCAGGGTTCCTCCTCTCAGCTTGCAGTTCATTGAAGCCTCTCCGAACCTCTTGGACTCTTTCACCAGCAGGTAGTACCTCTCTTCTGTTTCCTTCAGACCCAAAATGACTGCACAGGGTTATTGGGTTAAAGAAAAATAAGGAATTTAATACAATAAAAGAAGGAAACAAAACAAGTCAGAAGCCAGTCGGACAGTGCCATGTGTCATAAACGTCAAAATCCTATACTACTGTCAGCTCTTTTCAACAAGTTAAGCCACATGATTGCAAGGGCGTTATGAATAAAAGAGGAAATATGTTTTTCTGAATTTGCATTCCAAGATTAAATAACTTCCATTGTTTAGAGCTGCATGCAGTGGTTTTCACATCATTCACATATCCAAACACTGTGTGCTTACCATTCTTCAAAAACTTGACAGCATTCCTCAGCTTGCCTACATTGACATCCAGCTGCCCGACCACTTTCCTGTACCTGCCACAGTCACAGGTTGTGCCTGAATGATAAAATATGTGTCAGTATGACTTGAGTTTGTACCGTATTTCTGAATCACCTTCCTGCATCTCTGACAAAACTGTACCACAGTATATTTGTGTAAGTCCTGGGCTTTTGTTGTTGTATGATTTGATAGCCATTTTAGAATATGAAGAATCTAATCAATTTAGTAGGAACAGTTTAAATGTGTACAGTAAGTGACATAACATGCTCAAGTCTATATGTACAATTTAAAAACCCTTCACAAGTCAGGATGTTAAGATTTCCGGGAAATATTGACACATTCCCTATTTGCTTTTTTATTTGTAAATGTAATATTGCTGCAACCTGGTCATGTGGGTCTGAAAGGAGCAGAAGGGCCGGTACTGTAATGCATAGGACTTGGAAAAGTTCATGTCTGCATGCTGAAGTCTTACTCACCTGGTTTCCCTTTAAAACCAGCGAGCCCAATATAACCTGGATCACCTTTGATTCCTACAGAATATAGAAATCACATGTGAGAAAATACTTATTAAATTATTTTTACATTACATTGTGATGTAGTTCTAGAATATCACCACTAGATGGCTGCATCATACACAAAACGTGACAAATGGCTGCACACAGGTATACATTGACTATTGAACTATTGTAACCCAGATATTTTTTTTCAAAATTGAACTCAACAAGACACCTAAAATTAAAAAACATAATAATAGTAGTAATCCAGAACATATCAACCCATATTTGAGCAACACTGACACAATGTGTTGTTGAATGTTGCACATTTGGGGGAAGAGGGCTGCAGTAAAAAGATGATAGGCTGGTTTTGTATTAGGACATTTCGTACATGTACAATCTGATCTTTGAATAAACAAACGGATTATTCTGTTGCCAGTAAAACATATCCAGAGAGAAATGCTGCAAACCGTTTTTTAAAGCCTAATGGTTATTATTTTGTACAAGAAAAATGCTAGCCCTGTAAACACTAATAATAATCAGACAAATGCATAGACATAAAGCATCATGTATCATGGTCATCTTAATCTTTAATGAGGCTGCTAGATCCATTGAAATTAAAACTAGCTTCTGTGAGTGAGATTGTACCATGGAATTCAGAAAAACAGAGTAGCAGGATTTTAGTTGGAAAATGTGTTTTTCTGTAGGTGTTTTATGAGCTACAGGCGCTCGGGATCAAGGGAAATCCAAACCTGTGACCTCACTCCTTTGCCTGAGATGGCTGATGCACAGCCACTTTCCTGTAAGTGTATTAAACATAATGAATACTGAGAAAAGTGAATGCCTAGAATGGCAGGAGAACATGACTGCTCATAAAAATAAAACTAAGCTAGAAATTGTTTCAGCCACCCTAGGCAAAGCAGCCTGATGACATCATGTTTTCTTCTATCTTTAAAACATGAAAGAAAGTGGGAGAATTCTTACTTGTGTATCTTAGCCCTGGGACTAATTAGGTTTGCTGTTTTGTGTAATGTCCGTTCTTCTTATTTCAATGTTTTGAGTAAATGATAATGAAGCTGTGCTTGGATTGAGGATGAGTTTGGGGAACTATGATTCTTCTCTCTGTGCAATATTAAAGTCAATGAAATCCTGTAAAAACCCCACCACTACATTTTTGTAGCCTTTTGTCGACAATTACAGGCAGGTTGGAAAAGTGTCATGGCAGTGAAACAGGAACACAGGACACTCAGGATAGGAGGTGTTCCACTTGATGCGCTTTCCAATGTTACACTCTCTTTGATTTAAGGCTTATGTATCCATTAGAACAATATTCATACCATAGTATGGGGTTACCTCAAGAGAAATAGAAATTGGTAGAGAAGTAGAGACAAAAACAACAGTATTTACATTCAAATACTTTTAGAAATTACTCTTTTTTCATACCTCTTTCCCCAATAGGCCCCATCTTTCCAGTGTGGCCCACCTCTCCCACAAGCCCCATCTCCCCTAACACTCCTGGGTAGGAAGAGAAAGAAAGAGTATGTGGAGAGACTTCAGTAAAACAATTTAGTATTCACTATAGCCTTACATTTGATCTTAAGTGGGCTGAATAGGGTAGATCACGTCATCATATTTTTTAATATGCTATTTTCCATTATTCAGGATTGTCAAAGCTTTTCAATTATCTATGGCTTTCATCATTTCTCTTTTGTATTTTGATTATTTTGTTGTTTTCAAGTCGAATCAACGTAATTGTATGCGTCTAGAGATTGCGAGTCCTGAGGCTTTTTCCCAACAATCACTGCACAGTTTGGATCCACAATAGATGCTGTTATTGCTATTATTATTATTATGCCAGTAAATAAATTAGAGGGGAAAATTCTGATTTGTTTTGGGCACGAATTGAAGTATTTTGTGTTGAGAGACTGTGTGTGGATTGAAGGTAGTTTGTGGGGAAACACACATTGCCTTGTTTT